GAAGTTTTAGATTTGCGTGGTTTTTTTGAGTTGCAAAATCCACTTGAACATGACGCTGCTTTTTTCGAAGTTTCTCAAGAACCATTCGAGCCACAAAATTCGTTTTGGAAGCGTTGGATAGAGAATTCCGGATCCTGGATCCGCCCTTGGTTCGGAACACCTTTGTAGAAGCACTTTTTCTAGTCTAGCTAGAAGAACTTAGTGCATTTCTTTCAGGGCCTGACACTTAGGTAGATTTGGAATGCTGAAAAACCATTCTCAAGTCGCATCTGCATCGGACGGGGGCTGACCATTTCTTCCCGTTGAGTGACTTGGCAATTACTCAAAGAACTGGTCGCAAAAAGCTTTTGTTTAAAACTGTAATAATCGATTAATTGCTCGACTTAAGTGGTCCAATTCACCTCAAAATGCTGTTGCTGTTGCTACTTATTAGCAACTATGAACTTGCACATATAATTTTGCGTGTAATCCGTCATGTCAATTGGTGCTTTGGATGACACCTAATTGGGGGTCCTGCTCATTTAATGCACTCAATTAGGTGATAGCTTAATTGCTACGTGCTTACGCGTGCTATAAACGCCTCAGGGAAAATGATCTTGAAATCTTTGTGCCATCTAGAAAACTGTTAAATGTCCTGCTGGCTGCCCTGAACATCATTGAATTACGTAAATGGTCAATTAATGTCGGAAATTCGACAATTACTCGAGATGATTAGACCGGGTGGCAGGCTGATGAAATTAGACCCTCAGTCCCATCTGTCCAACCCGTTTGACGTGCAATATGAACATTTGGCCCACTCTGTAGCGAAACTTGAGGTCATAGTTTCTCTATGTCGGTTTTTTTCCTTCACCTTTAATTGCTTCCAGGTGGAAAAACTCATGTCCCAGAATGCAACCTTAAGGCTGGCGCTATAAAAAAGAATTAGATAGTGTTAGTTCCGAATGTCCCTTGACCAATAGAAAACTGGTCGTCCGCCCTGAATTGGATGGCAATTAGATGTCGAGGAACAATTTACATTCGGTTTAATTGTGTTAAGAGTGTTTGCATGTTCGTTAATGTTTTTTGGCAAAGTTCAATTAAAAGTTTGAGTCGTCAAGGCGGTTGAGGGTTTAGTTGCGATTGCTTGCGCTCACAATGCGGAAACATTTCTTCTTGTGAGACTCTAATATTTAAATGAGAGCGAAAAAATGTCGCATTCAGTGGTTTACTCGTTTCACCACAACAACAACAACAACAACAGCAAGTGTTTGAATAATAACAGTGTCGCGAAGGGCAAAAAGCATGGTAAGAAGTTGAGGTTTGCGGGTAAAATTGTTCTGAACCCAATTTTGGCAGTTTCAATATTGATTAAATGGTGTTTGTCCCTCAAAAGGGACACTTTGGGCAGTCGATTAGCATTTTAAAGCTGATTAGAGTCAGCGAAGTCAGCTCGCTCTGAAAAGGGTATTAGAGTAGAGTTAACGAGTCGGAAGAGCAGTTAAGGACGATTTAATCTCATTAGGAAACTGTTTTATTGCGCATTACTAACAGAGACTTTTTGTGATTTTCTTGTTTTGCTTGGCGGTTTTCATAGGTTAACAATTTCTCGCCAAGCTGCTAGTCAGAAACACAGTTACATATAACTGAGAGTTTCAACCGTTTCTTGGCTACGCTCTTTTAAACTTTCACGAGCTCTGGATGGTTGAAATTTTTGCTCCATTTTTTTTAAGTTAGAATTTTGCCTAAAATGAGAATTTGCCAAATTTACTCTTTTTTGCAGTTTTTTTTAAATAAATGTTCTTCTTGTGGCATATGGAATGTCTTGGGCAAAATTTTAGACCGGAAAATGTAGCCGGCAGGATCTCAAACACTGAGAATTTTGAGCGGTTTTCACATTAAAATTTTTCCAGAAGGAAATGTTTAATCGAAAAAAGTCATTCTCTATGAAATGCGCTGGCTAAAAAGTGGGTTTTCAAAACGATATCAAGTGTGTTTGAGCAATATCTTTTGAATTTGTCAAAAATTACTAAGAAACTGGCGTCTACAATAGAAGTGAGTTTCCTCTATAAAATCACATAAGAAGTAGAGACATAAGAGAATTGGTTCCCGCGGAATTCATTACTGAACCGAATCGGGTAAAATGGTCGAAGCAGAAAAACGAATTTAAGTCAGACACTTGAAAATGTTTTCAAAATTTCACAAAAAAGCAATACAAATGAAACTTTCAACAATAATAGCGACCTCCTTTCCCTATAAAAGAGTACAAGAATCAACGTTCAAAATTAAACAGTTTCCGAGAAATTAATTATTGAACTAGAGCTTGTAAAATGGGCTGCTGCAGAAAAGCGACTTTGAGTAAGACTTGAAAATTCGTTAAACGTTTTCAAAAATATGCATGCGGACGAAACTGTCACAGTTACCAGCTTGAGGAATTAACTAAAAGTCTTACAAATGAAATTTTTAAGAATAATAGCGTTTACTCTTTTGCTCACAGAAAAGATGGATTTCTTCCAAAGCGATTAATAAGCGAACCATTGGCGATTTCGACTTAATTTGTTGTGTTCCTGAACTTATTTAGAACGCATCAAGCCAGCTCATTAAGAAAATATATAAGTTAATTGAGGAGTGTATGTGTCATGCCAATTGCAACATGGCGTGTTTGTTTTGCGGAGTGTCGTCATTAAATTACGCAAAGGTGTGTTGGAAAATCGACCTTGCAACACCCAGTTTTCCGGGAACATTCTGGCGATGACTGGTGAGGGCACGAAACTGTCCTGTCCTTCCAGGCCTCATTATCTAATCCTTTTTATTATATTTATGCTAATAATCCATCCATTGTGAACGCGTTTCTGAAATGTAATTGACTAAAACATTCTTATGAAAGGAAGGTCTAATTTAATCAGGCAAATACGTTTGTTTCGACGTTCAAAGCAACAAGCTGGTAAATAGAAGCGAACTTGCCAGCATGCAAACGAGGTTGCAGAACTTTGCAATTCCCTTGCCAACTTAACAACTTCGTGGCATGCAAATCGACTCATTTCCCTCGTCTTCCCCCGGATTGGGTCCACTAATTCGGTTGATGCCCCTTTTTCCCGTTAATTTCATGCGTGTTGTTTCAGTAGATTCTCCTCTCAGTAGAACTTGCGGGGACACCACAAGCTCCCCAGGGGGATCGCCAAAACCTCGAGCGCCCACTCCAGGGGTTCTGGCAGGACTGGACCTGTTGCCGGTCAGTATAAACACTTTATTGCGCTTTTCCAAGCCAATAATGCAACTACTTTAGCTGACTTCGAGCGATGAAATCAGCAGGCGCAGAGAACATGCCCTTCGCCAACACTCGTTTTTCCAACTCAGGATTTACCTTCGCAGAGGACACGGGCTGGTAGCGATGGATAAAAATGGTAGGACATTGAAATGGTGCAAACCGTCCGGGCCCAAGCGGTGTAGCGTCACAAATGCGAAGTGTTTCCATGGAAACCAGCTCGTTTTCTTTGTAATCACGCGGGCTAAAAGGGGACGCAGACTGATAGCACCACGGTTTATAATTGAGTTTCTCTAATGCAGTTTGGGTTTTTAGGTTTGAGTGACCCTTATGTAAAATTCAAAGTCGGCGGGCGGCTAATTTATAAATCGCGCACGATATACAGGGACCTGAATCCGGTCTGGGACGAAAGTTTTACTGTGCCCATCGAAGACCCGTTTCTTCCAATTTCCATTAAGGTGTTTGACTACGACTGGGGCTTGCAGGTATTTGCGAAAATTCCCAGTGAAAACTAGTTTGATTGCTGTTGGAATCGGCCTTTTTAGGATGATTTTATGGGATCCGCCACTCTGGACTTGAGCACTTTAGATATAGGCCGCAACAACGACTTAACACTCGCTTTACAAGATCCGTCCCGTCCGGAGATTTGCCTTGGCGAGATCTACATTACCGCCACACTCTATCCGAAAACTCAAGAGGACAAAGAGCAAGTGAGTGGTGGTGGTTTGCAGCAGGAATGGCATCGAAGACGTAATTTGCTTCTAGTATTTCCAGAAAAACAGTCGCATTCAAGACGTGAATAAGCGACTGAAATCGCAAATCTGGAGCTCGGTGGTGACGATTGTTCTCATCGAGGGCAAAAACCTGCTGGCCTGCGATCCGGAAACCGGAACTTCAGATCCTTACGTCAAGTTTAGGTAAGTCGATTTAATAGTTTCGCACTTTCCTGCTTAGTTGCGCTTTTTTAGATTAGGCAATGAGAAGTATAAGAGCCGGATTATTTGGCGATCGCTGAATCCGCGATGGCTGGAGCAGCTGGATCTTCATCTGTACGATGATGGAGATCAACAGCTGGAAATCACCGTGTGGGACAAGGATAGGACTAGGGATGATTATATCGGGAGGTGAGTTTTTTACGGCGTATTAATTGCTGAAGGTGGAGGGGTTTTCGGGATTTTAGGGAGGATCTCACCAGTTTCAATAAATCGCCGCTAAAGCCGTACTCTTTTTGATCATTAAGGGTTTCATTCAATTTTGCTGTTTCGATACTTCAGTCAACGTGTTCTCTAATACAAGTATTTTGTCAATAAACCGCTCCAATTTCGCACGATTGTTTACCCTAAGAATTTCCGCATGCAACTCTTCTATACAGGGTTATTTACGCTATACGGCACGGACGTTTGCGGCTAGCCCGTTTGTTTTTGGCTTTATCTTGAAAATAACATTCCATCTAATAAAATGTTCATGTCTTTTTTTATTTTATCGTATTCGGTTACTAAGTTTGTTACTAAGTTGTAACTAGCCCGTTTGTTTTTTGCAAAGTATTATTTGATGAATCCACAGACGCCTATCGGGTGCATATTTTAAAAATAATTTTGTAATGTACAGAGTGT